TTAAAAATTTAAATCTCATTTTATTGTTGTAAGCCATCAAGTCACTTCCCACTTATGGCAACAGTATGCATGTTACAGAGCCTGTATGCCATTTAGGAGAGAGCAACAGTCAGAGACTCAGTAAGTCTTGGATCGGATCCCTATTCAGCCATGGAAACCCACTTGGGGGGGATGGTAGTGGCAATAGTCAAGTTACTCCTTTAAATATCTCCTGTACCTCAAAAACCCTGTTAGGGTTTCCATAATTTGATGGCATGTAGCAAACAAATGTGTTAGTGGCCCCTGAAAGGTCCTACATCTGTAACAACCTTGTTTAAGTCTTGCAAACTTGAGGAGCTGTCGTCCATTACTGATGTAATCCCTCTCATTTTCAGTATTCCTCTTTTCCTGCTGCCTTCTGCTTTTGCCAGCATGATTGTCTTCTCAGACTACACCCAAAGTATGGTAGCCTCAGATTAGTAATTTCCACTTATTTCTCAAGCAGCCCAAGAGACAGCTGACTTTTGGGCAATAACCCTCCGTGCTCTCCTATTCTGCATAATAAAACTTTTGAAAAAAAAAATCCCACTTGGTCTCTGACATTGTCTGTCAGTCTTGGGGTGTCATTGGCAGACCCCTGGGCTTACACAAATGCATTTTTTGCAATACACATCTCAAAGGTTTAGGCTTGAATTTGATCCAGCACCCCCTTATTTATCTTTCTTGCAGCCCACAGTATGCAGAAAGCTCTCCTCCAACACTACATTTCAAATTAATTAATTGTTTTCCTTGCTAGCTTTCTTCACCGTACGGTTTTTACATCAGTACATGATAACTGAGAATACTATAGTGCATTTTTTACTTTAGTCTTGGTCTCCAATGATGCATCCTGACTCTTAAGGATCTTTCCTAGTTCCTTTATAGCTGCCCTTTAGTGTCTCTGATTTCTTACTTCTTGGCTACAGTCTTAATTTACACTGATGATGGATGCAATGTATGAACATCTGTATCTATTTCTTCTTCATTTTGACACTGAAGTTATACAAGTCTCTTGCAATCAGTATTTTTGTCTTAATGTTCAACTGTAATGCCGCTTTTGCACTTTCTTTTTAAGTGCATTTTCTCTATGTTTCTTTCCTATGTTTTTGGCATCACATGTAGCCCTTCCGGTTTGTGCCTTTAATGCCTTTATACAACTATAAGATTTGCAAAAGATCTACGGAATCTCTGCCCAAATATTTATAGTCAAAGCTTTGATCTGATGTTTTTCACGTAGATATCAAAAGACGTGTGAGTGCTGGCAGGGATAATAAGTTGACAACCTTCATTCCCACTGCTTGTACTCACATCCACTGGTAGATCCAGGAGGCTTAATTCCTTGCAAATGCTTGGAACCCCTGCCCTCTGCCACTTCTCTACCCCTGGAACCATTGGCCATCACAGAAGCCTTTGAATAGGAACCCTGCAGGGGATCTTAAAGAGATCAGTCAGTGAGGAAATGACCCTTTTCGTGCTCCGTTAAAGCTAAGAAAGCAATACCTCTCGAAAATGATTGTGGGGGAAGGTTCCTCAACCCTGTGACTTTCCTTCACTGGGGAAGCCCACTCCAAAAAGGCTTGCATGTCACATGTTATCTTTTCCTGCCAATCTGCAGTCTGTTATTTAAGGATGGAGCCACCCGAAGAACTGACAGAGGGCAGCGCAAGGAAGGAAAGTGATTGTAATCGCCGTCCTCTCAATTAGGTCCAATTTAAACCACAGGCCTGACTTCCGGCGCTAATGAGAGATCAGAAGTGCTGCTTTTTCTGCTTTGACTCCCTCTCCCTCTCTTGTTAGTGAGGTGAAGGTTGATACGAGAGGTCCTCCCTCAGTACTGCCATGGCAGACAAGGCCAGATCAAAGGGCCTGTGCTTCTCCCTGCACACAAACCCTATGACCCAGTGCTGCGGATCGCAAGAGAATTGGATTGGGTAGCAAGAAGGCAGCAAAGTATCAAAGAAAAGATCGTCAGAAGAACCACCCAGTGTGAGAGACCTAGACCCTGAAAAAGCTATTTTCTTCAGCTATATATCTCATAGATACCCAATATGGCAGTGGTGGTGAACCTTTTTGGGCCTAGTGCCCAAACTGGGGGGGGGGGACGCAGCGGATGGCGTGCCGTAACCGGAAGTGGCAGTGGTGGAACCAGAAGTGACAGAAGGGGGAATCCCAGGCATGGAGGTGCCTCCAGACTCCACTCAGGATTTGCCGCCAGCACCAGCTGCTCCAGATCCTGGCCTGCCACCTGTTGAGGTGCCAGAACCACAGCTGCAGCTGCCTCCTCAGGTTTGGTTGTGGCGGGGGAGTAGCCATCCGGCGACTTATGCCTCGTGTGCCCGTAGAAAGGGCTTTGCGTGCCAGCTGTGGCACACGTGCCATAGGTTCGCCATCACTGCAATATGGTGTAGTGGACAGAGTGATGGATTAGGCCTTTGGAAACCAGAGTTAGAATCTTTGCTGAGCCATGGAAACTCAATGTGGAACTGGTAAGCCCTATTAGGGTCGCTGTGTCAGTTCCGACATGATGTCATATAACAATGCCAACAACAAATAGGTCCTATAACCCCACCCACACCCAAGATCTGCCAGGCTATCTGGGGGAATTCTGAGACTTGTCATCCATAAGTAAATTTTTCCAGCCAGGCTCGGCAGCCTCATGCCAATACCATTACAAAACCGAGGGTTATGAGTTCAGATATGATTAGTCATTTCTAAGTCTGTCAAGACCCTGCAGGTTTTCGAAGAGTTGCTTGGCACCGTGAATCAAATTGTTCAGGAAGAGCTGTTGTTCAGTGGCGGAGCACATGGTTTGCACACCTATAAAAATATTTCTGTTTGAAATCTTCACAGGGCTGTCTCCCACATTTTGTTACCTAAGGTAGAAAGCAGGCTATCTTCCCTAACCGCACCTACCTTGATTCCAGATATAAAAGCTGTCCGTATCAACCATGGTGATGAAATGACAACCTCTGCTGCCTCTGAAGGGCAGCTGAGATGAATCTTAATATCTTTTATACTAGGGAAGCATTTGCGTGTCCACTTCGTGCCCCAGGCATAGGAACTAAAAAAGGACACATCTTTTAAAATAATAATAATAAAAAAGAGCTGGTGTTGGTAAAGTGCTTGCTAAAATGGCCGCCATCTCTGGGAAGATGAGTGTCACCAATCCAGACTCTTCACAGGCTGAGCTGAAATTTCACCCACTTAGCTAGAGGCCAGAATGAAAGGATAAGCCCTCAGACAAAATTTTCTCCCATTTCTTGAAGTTGGAGCACTCAGAGCCCCATTATTGTATGATGGCGACAGAAGAAAATCACAGTTTTTTTTAAAATTCTATGGGCTGAGAAAAGCTTCCTCCAAGGCTACTTTCTGCTTTTAAAGCCAAAAACACCTGCATGCCTTCTGGGGCTGACATTCCTAGCTGGTGGATGAGTTTGCCTTTTAGACTGACACTCCTGCTGTATAAGTACCTGCCATCCTTTGAGGCACACTTTTGGATTTTTTTTGCTCCGCACCGTTCCGCTCCTCTGACTTTTGCAGCCCTTTAAAATAGATGACTGCCATTCTTATTTTTGTGCTCAAGGTGCAACTGAGAGCAACAATTTATTTTCATAGGAGCCGTCGCTGGATTTCTGTGTGCTTGGATTACAAAATGCCATCACCCCTTTTTTCAGTTTTTCAAAGTCTCTGCCACTGAACACTCTCTGGTCATGCTTTAAAATGACGGAGGCCCCCTGGGCTAAAATGAGGCGAGCATTAACAGCTTTTTAACCTGCCAACTGTTTTCCAAAGCCTAGGCACATGTTTATTTCTGTTTTTATTTCCTCTCTTCCTGAAATATTATAGGCTATCTTCAATCCGTGTAACTGCACAGCTTTCCTTTTTAATCCCAGCTAAGAGGCAGGTGATGCAGAACTCAAGTGGGGAAGGAAGAACACTCTGCACATGCCCCAGAGATATACTGCTTGGGGAATTCTGGAAGTCATAGTCCAAAAAGACCAAAGCAGATGTCCGTGCATATGAAACCACTTTTTCTAGAGCTGGGCCCAGTCTTCAAAAGTAGGCTTGGGGACAAAAACAATGGTACATTTGGACTCAAAATAATCCTTACTTCTGTAACAAGCCACAGAGACTTGGGGGGGGGGGGTTTGGTCTTCAAAAGTAGGCTTGGGGACAAAATCATGGCACGTTCGGGCTCAAAATAATCGTTATTTCTCTAACAAGCCACAGACACTGGAGGGGGGGATCTTTAAAAGATAAGAAGCACAATCCAAGTCTTGCTTAAATATAGAAAATTTAATGGATTTAGATGTGTTCAACGTAGCATCGGACATACTTACAGTTATACAGCAAATTGTGTTGTAAGACCCTTATTACCCCAAGAAAATGGTTAGGATGTTTATGCTGAAACCCTTTTCCGAGCAGGGAGCAACTTAAGTGTACATCTTATCTTAGTAGTTAAAGACCAGGGTTGTAGAATATATGTATAACACATACACCAGCCGAATCCTGGAATTCCTCACATGCACAAAAATATAGTAATAGAAAATAAATCATATGTCAGAGGTCGCTGACTAGTTTACATTTGTTTCTTTGTTATGTTTATAGCATGTTTTTCCTCCAGTGAGTTCAACCTGGTGTCTCTGGCTCCCCTCGCCTCCAGTGTATCCTCACAGCAGTCCTGTGAGATAAGCCAAGCTCAGAAAGAATGACTGGCCCAAGGGCATCCAATTAGTTTCATGGTTCCATAGTAGTTTGAGCCTTGATCACAACTAGTCCCATTTATTACCTGAACCAAAAGGATCTCGTCCACCAACCCATCCTTCACAGTTCCTTATTTCCCTACAACTCAGAATGTTGGCAATGTAGTCTCCCAAAATTAACTTCCCCAAGTTCTGCTCACTTGCTGCCTAAATGATGCCTGAAAAGGTGATCTTTCACAGAGAATCCTACCCTTCTACTTCAGTGAAATATTCACTCACCTTAAACAGCTCTTGCATTTTCCTAAAATCACGGATCGTCAATCGGTTTTCAAGATGATCCAGACTTTTTGTGCTCCCCGAATCTTCACTCCCATTTGGAGACGGAGCAGCACCTAAGGTTTTTCTGGATTCGGATAGTTTGTCGTTCATGATTAATTGTCTCGTTTGATAAATCAACACATCGGATTTGATGTTCTCCTTGAATTTTATGTTATTTCTAACTGTGTTTTCCCCCACAAATAATATTGGCACACCAGCTAGCCAGGGATATTGAGCAACGGTCTCTGAAAGGTCAGGATGGATTTCCCTGGGAAACAACAGAAAGAACTAAACATGAGCTTTGGTTGCAATATTTTCATTTGTGTTTTTGAAAGGTTAAACAGTTGTTCTGGATAAATTCTATATAAACTAGAAAAACGTAAGTGGCTCTCTTGAAAGCAAGCACATTTATAATAATTTCTAGTTTGTTCCTGAAAATGTAATAAAAGTTACTCACCCATAGAAAATCCATTTTGCTTACCTTGTCAGTACTAATGTATTATTTATTTTGATTAAAATTCCATTATCTTTTCTGAATGCTTTCAATGAGCTTCAGCACTCCTTGTTCTGGAGTACAATGTTGATACTATGGGAATTTGTGAGATTGTTTTGAGTGGCTGGATTCCCTTTTCTTTGAGCTTTCAAGGGTTTCTTAGCAACCCTGCAAAACATGAGCTGGCAGTCCTTCTTCCGTCTTCCAATGAGTGGCTGAAATAAAGGGCACAATTAGCCACCCTTAACAAGAATCTCTCAAAGCAAGCCCAGAGAGAAGACGTGCAGCAGTACCATCAGTATGATGGAAAGGCTTACAAACTGTTTAGAGTGTGTGTGTGTGTGTGTGCGTGCGCATGCGTGTCTGCGTGTGCGTGCATGTGTGCGTGCACGCACACACGTGCTCACGCACACGCACACACGCGCACACCAAAGAGCTTGATTAGTATGTTACTCTACTCTGTGAATGTGCATGCATGTGTTCGTGCACGCACACACGTGCACGCGCACACGCACACGCGTACATCAAAGAGCTTGATTAGTATGTTACTCTACTGTTAGTCCTACCAGCAATCCTCATGAACTTTTCGATCTGCCCAGTAACAGCTGTTGCAGAGTATTTGATTTTGATTAAATTCCTCTAAGCAGAAGTGCAGGGATTCACGAAGGAGAACAGCTTCAAGTTCCCCAGATAAGCCCACCCTCTTTTCCCATCAACTGGCACTTACAGTCTCAATAACTAACTCTGGAGGACATTAGTTTGTTAAAAATGCTTTCCTTCTGAACAGATCAAAGAGCAAACTGAACAAACATGACTGACTTTGCAGCAACAGGCCTTAACAGACTACCTGACTGCTTCCAAAAGATTACAGGGAGGGGAGCTGAAAAGCAGAGAGGCTAAGCTCTCTTTGAATCAGAGGCAGGGAAGGAACAACTGGTTACTGCTAGATACACTGACTAGATAGACTCCGGGAGGCAGTGGAAGACAGGACCGCCTGGCGTGCTCTGGTCCATGGGGTCACGAAGAGTCGGACACAATGACTAAACAACAAAGATACACTGACAGTCACCTCAGCCCGGAAAGCTTTCTCCCTGCTACACCTACTAGAGCCAGCCAGCAAGACTGCAAAACTCCAACAGTTAAAGGGTGATTCCTTTGACCAATGGCCAGAAACATGACAGTGCTGCAAACTTTTAAGAGTAACTCTAGTCTCAATCCTTTAAGAGAGTGCAAGGAAGATCAATAACTACCTCTTATTCTTTCAGTGGATTTAGTTCTACTAGTACAAAAAAGTTCCGGAGAAAAGATCCAGAGTTGATGTAGACAGGAGAGTAGGCAGAGGCTTATTAATGCAATGAACTGTAACCAAACTTTATAAAGTAATCCAGTCCCATTACTCTCTACAGTGCTTTAAAAGCTTTCTGTCACTCTCTCTCTATTGCTCACTGCAGTGTTAAGGTTTTTTTTTTAACATTCTATTTTCTTTTATTTCAAAAAGCATCACCTTGAGAAGCGAATGGCAAATGCACATCAAAATACATCTAGAAATGCATACAAATTCAATTTAAAAGTAACTTTGAAAAGGAGCTAAGAGCATGACTTTATTAGAACTCATTACAGCATTTTTGTAATGCCGTTTCATTGTGCACATTTAAAAGGGAGGAGTTAATACATTACAGGTAACTGTAATGCCAGTTCGGAATTTAGTCTTTGCAAGACAGCTCACCCCTCCTGCCTTGAACCTATCTGAAAGTCATTCCTTAGATGGTACATTTAGGAGTGAGGCCATAGGAAACGCTCAAATGAGTAGCCCCCCCTCCACCTATCAGCATCTAGGCGCTCAGAGGCAGCCACTGCCCTCAAGCATCAGATTTTGCAGTACCAGTGTATTTTTGCCATCTATCCATGGCATGGATCCACATGAATTTTAATGTATACTCATCTCCAAATCATTGCCCATCTCCATTTCCTCGGTTGTGGCACTGACATGAGAGGTTGCACTGGAAGGTTCTTTGAAGTGGCGTATTTTCTCCCCACTTGTACTCTGCAAGGAGCTGTCCATGAAGTGCTCATGTTGTTGACGATGAAGATGAGGCTTGCCAGGTCTCAGAGAATGAGTTGCTGTGCCAGGAAATGGCTGGGCTCCCCTGAATCTCCAGGCCAGGCAAACAAATGCGAGGAGCAGTGGTGGAAGGGAAGGAGTGAGTCTCGTTTATTGTTACAGGTACCCAACTCCAACCCTCTCCGAATGGCACCAGGGCTCACTGGCTTCCTGTGTCTGTCCAACAAGACACATGATATACTTGCTTTGGAGCTCAGACAGGGAACCATGAATGCCTAGCTCACTCTCTCACACATGCATTGAGAAATATTATGTTCCCAATTCCTGTGCCATCACAAGGCCCCACACCATGACTACACAAAGGCCCGCCCCAGGCATTGGGCCCAGGATAAAAAGAGGGGATGGGGAAGATAATCCTGTTACAGCCCCTGACAAACAAGACAACACTTCAAAACCATTCTGGAAAATTCTTTTATTGGTTTTGGAAAGGAGGCTAAACAGGTATCTTCAGCAGAGACAACAGCCTGGTTCAGCTCCAGCAGGATGCCTGCCTTTTGGTTCCTCGCATCTCCCTGGGGAAGAGGAAGCTTCAGGCCCTGCAAGTGAAAGAGAGAGAAAAAAAACATCTAAGGGGCGAGTTCGTCCACCGCCGCTAACCGGCTTCAATCCAGGCGTATTCACCGACCAATGTTCTGGCAACTTCATCCCGAAGTTCCACCTGCCAACATGCATGGGCTTCCACCAGGAATATCCACCCGTTCATGTCTTCCACTCCGCTTCTGAAGCCAGCCTCTGCCTACTCCCAAATACTTGAGTCATGCACACGCCCCAGCAACATCCCCATGGAATGCCAGCCAGTCCATTCACATACGCATTCACACAGACACCAGACACCCCCTGACACACACACACCTTCACTCCACCAGCCATTCACATACATGCCTAGGCTTCCATCCACCGATATCCACCAAGCTTCCACCAGCTGGTTTCAGGAGGCTAATGGCCCCTGGATTCATCTGCCAACCTCTGCCGGCCTCCGCATTGCAGCCTCAGCCAGCTTCCGCAGGCAGCTTCCACCAGCTTCTGTCTGCCAACGTCCACTGACTTCCCCCTGGTCCATTGCCGACATCAGCCAGCTTCAAGCCACGGATCTCCGCCAGCCTCGAGCTGTTAACTCGCAAGCCCACTTAGCAAGTTCATCTGCTTTTGCAAGAGAATTTGCCTTGGGCACGAGGGCTGGGTCCCCATCAGCTGCTGCTGCTCTCTCTGCCAGACTGCCCTCTGGTCACTGGCCTCCCTTCTGGCCTCCTGCCCTGCCCAGCAAGCC